CGAGAACTAGGAGGTGGCTGAGATAGTGAACTGGCTTGCACTCGGGTTTCCAGTCTCCTGCCCTTCCTCCTGCATGCACCCAACTCCTGCCCGAGTCACTGCTGAACATGTCCCCTGTCCCCTCTGAATGAGAGTGAGCATCCCTCCTGCATGCACTCTGGCCCTGTTGCTGCATGTCCCCAGTACCCATTCCCTTGGATATTATTCCCAAAGGAACTCTGACCTTAGCTATGAGACCTGCTTTGGCCAGTGGGGCAATAACATCCTAGAGGGAAAACACACTTGCCCTTCTGCTGAGCTTGCAACTCTGAAACCAGCAAATAATCCCCTGCCCCCCAACAGCTTGCCAAACATCAGACCAGAAAGTGAGGCAATTATAGGTCACCCCACTGCTGTAGGTAGAGAGAGAAATCCCAGGCCTGAAAAGCAGCTTAAACAACCCTCAACATACAAAATGACTACTGTGGTAAGTGCTATATTTGGGGTAATTTGCTACACAGCAAAAGGTAACTGAGACGCTCCTGCAATACAGTCCGTGCAGTCCTATAAAACGGTAAGCATCACCACACAAGCAGGAAGGACCTAGTGAGTCTTAGATGCTAAAATCATTTCCCCTTTGCATGAAAGGAATATTTAAATTATCGATCCTGATCTAAAGATGCAATAAATTCCAATTTCAGATACTTGGAAATACAAAAACCATGTGATTGTATCATTATACTTAGAAATAGCCGCTGACAACTACAAATGCACTCATCAGTGAGTGGCCACTGTGAGAAGAGCTCCAAGGCCTCTCAAAATGTGGGACTGGTTTGCATCAGGAAAGAGGGACCTAAGCCAATGGGAAGGGAGAAATGATTCACTCCAGGGAAACCCCAGAGCTGTATCAGGAAGGACATGTGGTTCCCCGAGTGCTAAGTGTGAGCAATACGCACACAGACTGACAGAGGAAGGGAGACTCTGAGTAGGTCTTTAAGCAGAGTAAAGTCTGAGTATACCAATAAGTGGCCCCCAAGAAGTGGCCTTGTGTATGTGTATGTGTGTGGGGGTTGAGCAGGAGAGCCAGTTCTTCCCTCAAGTGGGAAATTGCTCACTGGGTTCTTTCCTGCAGGGAGAAAGCTGGCTGTCTAGGCAGGGAATGCTTGCCTGACGAGGTCTAGGGCCTGTGAATCCGGACGGAGGGCAGAGAGGGGCAGCTTTGTTGGTTAACCCCACTTTTTGATTTGAAACACTAAAAACATGTATTTCTTTGATAAAATAAAGAGAATTAAAACTATAACAACTCCCAAAGCAGCAAATCTAGAAAATAGTCTTTTAGTTATCTGTGCTATCCCAGTTGGTGAAAGTTCACGATTTCTGGGCACAGATATTCCCCACACCCCAAACTCTGGCTCTCTCACACCCTGCCTCAGGTACAGTGCTCATTGGGACCTTGTTCAGGAAAGGAGAGAACTAACCATGTATAGGATGCAAGCAGGAACATGGTACCTGAAACAGCCTGACTCGCAGAGAAACTGTCAAAGTCACGTGCAGTACTGAGCACTGAGAGCTCATTAAAGATCTTCTGCACCCAAAGTTAACAATTTAAGTCATATTTTAAAAATGACTCCCTTCTTATTTACAAGTTTCTACTCAAATTCACTGATGATTTAATGGCACTAATTAGACTATGTGCTCAAGAGCTCTGTCTGGCAAACACGACTGCCAAATGTCACTAACAATGTGACAGCTTAGGAAGAGGGTTTAAATCATCAAAACAAAAGCCGCTGATGTAATGATACAATTACAAAGTTTAAACAGCTTTTATGATCTCCATTTTAAATGGAAAAACAAATGATTAAAATGCAGAGAACATGTGACCTTGAGATTCTTTCCTGTGTGTGGAGAACCAGGCCTGAGCTCTCTTGGTGACAAGGGCATGAGAAGCGCCCAACGGCCAGGCTGGCCCTGCACAGGCTGACACGAGGACTCGGGAAGGACACTCTCCCATCTCCATGGCAGGGATACAAATTCCTGAAGTGCCAGGTGAGAACAGGAACAGGGTCAGGACACCAGACCCAGCGCAGTCAGAGGACCAAGCTGTTGGAAGCCCACTTGCCCTGTGATGGCAGCACCGCCCTCTCAAGGGTCTTGATGATTCTTGCTGCCCTGATGACCTCATATACATGGGGTTTGTTTATTTTTCAAAATCTCATTTTTTTTCTACAAACTATAAATTCAACAGACTCCTACATGAGACATGTTTAATGCCAGTTGGCACGAACCATGCCTGCAAGGTAGGACACTGGTGCTGTCTGTATTAGTGCATGACGACAGGAGTGTGAGGGATAATGCGATTCAATAGGTAGCTACTGAGGTCTTCCTTCAGCCAGGTACAGCTGTGTTGGGCCTGCAAACCCATGTCCACGTTGGGAGGCATGGACATGTGACTGATAGAGACACACAGTGAAGGGCAGTGAGGGGCCTGCCTTTGGGAGCACACGCATGCACTCTATGTGCTTTGGGGGCTGCGAGAGAGGCCCACATGATAAGGACCTGAGGCCTCCTGCCCACAAACACATGTGAGCTTGGACATGGATCCTGTGGCCCTAAATGCCAGCTAGACCACAACCTTATGAGAGGCCCTAAGCCCCCACCTCCAGCTAAGCTGCTCCTGGGTCCTTGACCCTCAGAAACTAGGGGATAATACACGTCTATTGTTGTAGCCGCTAAGTTGTGGGGTAATATGTTACATAGAAATGGGTTTTTTTGCTTTGTTTTAACGAGGCTACTAGGAAATGTAAAATTACCTACATAATTGTAATGTACCCTGTATATTTCTATAGGGCAATGCTGCTCTGCATGGCTCAAATACTATGAGAGCTTATCAGGACCAGCAAATCACAGTCCTAACAGTCCTAGCAGGACTGTTAACTACATATTGTACCTTCACTACATTTCACTAATACATATTTCTTTCCTATGTATTTAATTTTAAAACCTGGAATATGATTAGATACTTGTATAGAGTAAGCAACCCCCCCCCCAAAAAAAAAGATCTATGTTAGTTTTTCTTATTCTATTTAAATATAAGAAAATGTTAACACCTCTTTCCAGTTACAAAAGATCAGTAGGACAAAATGAGAAGAGGTAGACACCATCCAAGAGATAACCTGGGTTACTATTCTTACTGGTAATTTTCCTATTTCAGGACATGTATTGGCAGTGAAATTAGATGGGAAGCACTCTCTCTGCTTTAAGTACATCCTACACTGGGACTTTAGACACTGTTTCCACTATATACTACATCTGCCACAATTTAGTTGGCCAACACCCTGCTGCTGAAGATACAGGCATCCAGTGATCTGTCTTCGGGGCACGGCGAGGAACGTCCCTGCCTGTGAGTCCTAACGATGCAGCTGGTTGCTAGGGACCATGCTCAGCAGCTAGGATCATGGTGAGAAAGCATGTGCTGGAACCAGGACTCACCTTGATGTGCTCGTGCAGCTGGGCCTCGTGCTGCCGTGACAGCTGTTCGTGCTGCCTTTGGAACTCTGCGATGAGGATCTGCCGCTGCAGCTGCTGCTTCTGCTTCAGAGCCAGGAGCTCCTGCTGCAGCTGCTGTTCCCGGAGGGCGGGCTCCGCCACAGGCAGCGGGAACTGGTGGTCCAGGCGCAGGTCCATGGGCACCGCCGAGGGAGCCACCTGCAAAGGCAGCGCCGAGGCCACATCCACTGCAGAGAGAGCACAACACAGAGCATGGTCACTGCAGGCCACGGCGTCCCCCGCCTGAGCAACCACCCAGTCCCTTAGCAAGCAGCAAGGGGTATCCGCATGCTGAAGGACAGTTCACATTTCAGATGCCTCTCCCCAACTCTTGCCCAAAAGGGTCACAGTGAGGGACTCAGCAGCCTATGAGAGGATCTACTCTTCAAGTACAAAAATCACAGTCATCATGAAGGTGAGACCAGGACACATTCACGCACACTGGCCCCTGCTCTCTCACAGGAAGCCACTGCAGGCCCATCACCTTTTCTGAAAGCAAGTTTGAAAGTCACAAGGAGAAAAGGGAAGAACTCTGGAGAGGGTTGAACAGCACTAAGTATGGAGGCTGACTGCGGTGTCGCTTCCTCCTTCTCACCAAGTCACTGAAGAGCTGTGTACCGGAAACAGAACAGTGTGTGCCACAGAGTGGTCCAGACAGATGCTCAGGACGAGGGCCTGTTTCCATGGCGAAGCAAGTGCCCTCTCAGCAAACATGTTTACTGGCTGCAGCCCACAGAGTGCCTCCCAGCTGGCCTGCACAGGCACATGCATGAGGCGTGTCTGCTACACAGAACCCACGGCTTCTTTTAGGCTCGAAGTCTGGCAGAGGATAGCACCAGTGACTGAGATTAGAAACAGCAGCAGAATCAATCTTAATACTGACAAATAATACCAAATTAAAGCGAGAAAAGGAGTACAGGAGTAATGTAAGTTTTCAATTATGGACATCACAAGAGAACCCCAAGGTGGGTGCTCCTGCTGGGACAGGTTTCCACTTTGAAAATACATGAACACAGGCTTGCACTGTGGCCAGAGAACTTTCCACAGTGGTACTCAGACACGCTGTGCTCTCCCCCTGCACCCCCCTAATGGACTTTGTTCATAAAGCCCCCAAAGGAGCTGAGGGGAGAGCATAGCACAGAGACCCACAGCTCCCTGGTCACTTCCAGAAAGGTCTCCCCAATCTGCTCTAGGCCCAGACCTGGAGGCCAGGGCAGAAGGGGGCCTTGCCCTGAAGTGGGTTGCAAGACTCAGATGGCAGCCCCAATTCAAAAGGCCAGGGCCACCAAGGACCAGTTTTCTTACCTAAGGGCTGTCTCTGCCTGGACGCTAGCACAGGCCAAGTTATGCATATGACTTGGTCCCGGAGTCTGCCTGGAAGTAGTCACCCCCACTACACACATACCCAGGACCTCGCCCTCAGGCCAGAGCCCTCCAGTAGCAGATATGCAGTTCCTGAGGAGTTCTGTGCTCCCAGCCCTACAGCCCATAGGTTCTGGTACAAAAGCCCAGCCCATAAATGGAACCACCCCTCAGGGCAGAGCATTTCTGTGGTCATTGTCCAGATGGCAGGTCCCACACTGGCCTTTCTGATAAGGGAAGGCTGGGGCTGAGGGAGAGGCTGGCTGTGTGGAAGCCCTGTGTTCTGACCCCGAGCAGACGCAGGCACTGCGCTCTGAGCACCATGTCCTGACAAATGTGTCATCTGAGTGCAGTGCATGGCTCATGGAGGCAGAGCCCAGGAAGCTGACAGGCTGGAAGCTGCCCAGGATACTCTCACCTCAGAGTCTGAAGCAGCTACAACACAGAACTGCCCAGAGGGCGACCAACAAATTCTCCACACTTGATCATGTTAAGAAACTATCCAATCTCCTCTCTTTTAACACTAACAAGCAGGGGTAAACACCAGCTGACTGTTTCTCCTCTGTTCCCCAAATCAGTGAAGTGCAACCCCCAACTTTTTAAATGTATGCATTTTTGTCTAATTGGGTATCAGACTTGACCCATTAAGAGGTTTTTACTTGATCTTTATGTGACAAAATCTATACAAATAAAGAGTGTTTTCCTGAACAGGCCCAGGGAAGAGTGGTATCCCACCCACCCCCACCACATACAACCTGAGAAGACTACATTTATTAATCCCCCGGCTTTTCTTGTTTTGATCATTTTATTATGAAAATATAGCAAACTGGATAAACTGGATAAATAATACCGATTTTAAAAAACCTCAGTATCTTCCTCCATTTGCTTCAGACTTTCTCTGAAGGAAAAAGTCGTATGAAGGGCAGGGAAGGGAGCTTAGTAAAAAAGCTTAGCAACAAGGGGACTCTACACCATGAGGGGATTCAGGTCATGTGTTTGGAGGGGTATCACTGTCACCTATGAATAATGCTGAGTGCTCCCAAACCTGTCATTGCTGTGACTGACCACCAGCCTCATAGGTTCCCTCTGCATCCACCTATGGCATCCAAAAGTTATTGTCCATTAACTCACTAACCTGCCTCATTACCTCACAGATTATAGGTGAGGTACATAACGGACTTCTCAGGTGAGTCTGACTTTGCTTTCGAAGGACAGGCCTGACCCTACCTTTCTGGGTTACACATACACGGTCACTGTTTCAGAGAGAACTCCTGGGTCTATGTTCAGAGGTAGAAATTACCTACAGGGTCTCTCTCACACTGTGCTTGTCTGGTTAAACAGTACTATTTTAGCTTCAGTAAATAACCACAGAGAACTAATAAATGAGCATAGCACCTACATTTTGTGAGCAGTGTCACTTTGGTGGCCACTATGGCAGGGGAGGTCAGGTGTGACCCCATTTAGAAGATGTACCAAAGTGACCTGAGACCCTATGCAGCAGCAATGCCATTGCTGACAGGCCAGACCGAGGACTCATCACTGCCCACTTGAGCTCATCCTCTCCCTGTTTTCTAATTTTTCATAGATGGGGAAGGGGGGCCATCAGAAATGCCCCATAGTTAATCTCTTAAAACTAAACATAGCCCTGGCTGGTGTGGCTCAGTTGGTTGGGTGTTGTCTTATGCACCAAAAGGTTGCTGGTTCGATTGCCAGTCAGGGCATATGCCTAGGTTGCAGGCTCACTCCCCGGTAGGGGACATGCGGGAGGCAGCTGATCAAAGTTTTGCTCCCTCATCCATGTTTCTCTCTCCCTTTCCCTTCCTCTCTCTCTAAAAATCAATAATAATAATAAAAAACAAGAACAAAAAACAACTGTAAAAGGATCCTTTTTATTAACCAAACCTGTGATGGGCCACCATGTCCATGCACATTTATCTGCTGCTAGTGTGCAGGACCTCCTGCTCTGTGCTGGGTGCTGGGCACAGGCCCAGGCCTACAATGGGACACCAGATTGGGGGGCGGGAGGATGGCTGACAAAGGCCCAGAGAAGGCCTGCAAGGGACTGCATCTCCCTGACATGGAAGAGGCATCACGAGCAAGGAACCAGGAGTCCGGGTGCATGTGTGGGGGTCATGGGGATTCAAAGGCAGAAGAGCTCATATCCCCTGCCCTGTGGATGTCCCCTGGGCAGGGGGACAGGCAGTGTGGGGAGGCTGGACCAAAAGCAGAGAAGCTGGCAGTGGGTTCAGGGGCTGAAAGAGAAGAGGATGGTGGTCTCGGGAAAGCAAACGAGGATGAAAGATGCTGAGGCACAGCAGCACGCTCAGGTGGCCCCTGCTCAGTAATGACGCACATCCACCACATTCAAACAAAGGTTTGTCTTGTTAACTCAAATGTTCCTTAGAGTCTCCTGAGAATGGAATCCCAGGGAATCTTCTAAGGACACCCTCCCTGGTAGCTGGTGAGTCCCACTGCAGACACCAAAGAGCAATGGGTCCAGGTGAGGAATATGCTGATGTGGCTGACGAACCTGCAGACAAACCTCCCTGCTGCCAGGAGTGAAACGAGTGGGGTATGAAGGTGGCTGAGCCGGGGCAGAAGCGTCCTCAGTGAATGCATCACTGTTCTGACTGCAGCATTTCCTCCACATTTGCTGTTAGAACGGAATAAAGTCTTGCCTCGGTTTACCTTTTTGAGGTATCAGAGAAAACTTCACTCTTTTGCTACAGAAAGTTAAAGAGCAGAGAGAATGAAAAGTCGAACATTACCTATGTCAGACACACCCAAACTAGCTCCTGCCTTTCCTCCACCCCTGCTGACAATGCTCCACTTACGGTTAGAGACAAACAGCGTGGCAGCACACGTGGGCCACAGGGAGCCATGCAGGGATCAAGAAACCCTACCTGCTCACCCTAGTGTGTCCCACACAGACACGCCAGGTGGGGAGAGTGGCCGTAGCTGTCCCCAGCCCTGTCCTGCACACCAGCTGCTGAGAGAAGTCACAATCCCCATTCATCCTAACCTCCAGCGGGTGCGTCAGACAAGACTTGTACTGATTCAGTATCAAAAACTAGCTGAAATGCCATGAGTTCCCAGCAGAAGTTGCTAGTGCCTCTGACCCAGAACGCCCTGGAGAAAACAATCAAACCTTCTCTACTTAAAGAATGCAGCACCAAAACAAAAAAGCCTGTATTCCCATGAATATTTTATGGTGGAGAGAAAATTGCTTGTATAGGTTGTGCCATGAGAAATACATTAAAACAATCAGACTCGTGACGTCAGCAGAAGCACAAAGAGCACATTCAGGGCCCAGTAAGAAATGCCGACTGTGCTGTTCTCAGCCACGGAGAGAAGAAATCTGGGATACTGTTTCTTTATTTAGTAAATGATCATAAAGGGCACTGTCACTTTCCATGGTTAGGTCCTCTCTTCACACACCATGCCATGCCATCATATAGACATGAAACACAGAGAAGCACTATTCCTCAGAAAACACGCCAAAGTTCAGGGTCCATTCAAGTGAAGAATGAGTCATTCAAATCCAGGAAAAAATAAAAGATATCGCAACTATGTAACCACAATTTCCTCTTATTCTGACATTTTGCCTATCTGGGGAGGCGGAGAAAGGGAGGAAAAAGAAGACGGGTTAAATTAGAGATGTAACTGAAAAACGTGTTCCCCTATGGCTGTGAAATGTGTCCACACACTGAAAAACATGTGTGGGATAAGGAGTGATGCCGGAAGGCCCTGTGTGCTCCGCACATCACAGGCCCACCCAATACTCTAACTTCGTCAGGCAGCCCCTACCTTTTATTTTTTGTTTGTT